ATTTTAGGGGAGGGAAGCTGCAGCTGCCATCTTTGCAAGGGGCAGCCTGGATTCCCTCAGCCTGCCTTAAGGGAATCCAGGCTGCCCTTTGCAAAAATGGCAGCTGTAATTTCCCTACACTAAATGAAGTCACTGCCACCATCTTTGCAAAGGGCAGCCAGTCTCCCCTTTTACATGTCGTGGTTGCGAAGGCCTGGTGGAGACCTCTGCAGCAGCTATTAAGGTAAAGAGGTGTCAGTGGGAGTGGAAGTGGGGTGGGGGCTAAAATAGGGAAAGGAAGGGGATGTGGGGGTAGGCTGTTGGGGTGGCTTGCTCTGGGGGTGTGTGTGGCTGCCTATTGGCTTCTGATCAGCTGATTGGCACCCGGTAAGCAGAATGGGCTTCTGTGCCTTGTGGTAAACTCTTCTGGGGGGACCCAATTAGTGGGTGAATAACTCGGATGTCCGATATCCAATCTTCATCAAAGTTGGCAGGCGTGTTGAGGAAAGACATAGGAAGCTCTGTGCTTTCCTGGGGGGGGTTGTCTTTGTGACTATATAACTTAGGGGTCCGTGATCCAATGTTCACCAAACTTCCAGGAGTTGTAGAAAAGCATCTGAGGAAGCTTCTGCAAATTTGGTGTCTCTAGGTGCTTAGGGGCCAGTTTTATAAGAGTTTAAAGTGCTGATGAATCAACAGATCAATCCGTCGATTCGTCGAAGAATATTTGTATATTTGTATTCATTGATCCATTAACCTTGACGAATAACGGATCAAAACAAATCACCATTTTTTTAATTTGTCGCCATCTCTAATCTGGACCAGTGCTGATGCTGGCTGTGGGATTCTGGGAGCTAAGACACCAAATAGTAGCCTTTCCAAGTTCTGGATGGCAATTACTGTATTGTTTCCAATTGGATTGCATCTTTTGTTGCTACTGTTGTAAGTGACTAAAGAGATCCTTCTCCATCCTTTTAAACATGTTGTTCAAATACCAGATTTTGATAAAAGCTTTTGTGGGCTGCAATTCATTTTTGAGGGCTGTATCCCACTTCTTCAGATGCATCTTAGGTCTGATGCATCAGAAGATGCAACAGACCTAAGAAAGGCTCGGTGAAAATATAAATGGGAGAAAAAGCATTTATTCCAACTGAATTTCAGCTCTGTCAATCTATCCCTATACTAATTAACCACTGTCATCCAGCTTTCTGCACATTTAAGGAGCATGTTTTCTTCTCCAGGAGTCATTGGATGTATCATCTGCCATGGCTAAAGAATCCTGGAACTTGTAGCTTAGTGGATGGGGGACCAGGGGGTGGTAGTTCAATTCCTCTTTATGTTCCCCAGGAGAGCGGTCAGCTGAGATCACCTGGTGCACGTGTGACTGTAGGGTTTCTTCTGTTACCTGTGTGGCTTTGGGCAAGCTGCATGCTGCCAAAGCACTACCAAAAGGAGGGACTGGTAGCCCACTTCTGAGTACTTCATACCTAAAAACATTTGGGAGGTTGCTGCAAATTCATCTTTTATTGGTGCAGATACCTATGGAAAGACATAGACTGATATGTTAATAAAAATAGCTTTCTACTTCTGTTATCCTTTTATTAAATTTTGATATGATGTAATCATGAATACAACCAGCAAGTAAGACCCCTTACTTTAAGTCTTCCATCTTCTGCTTCTCTTCATTCCTGAGCAGTTGCCTTTACCTAGGCAGAGTGTTCTAGACACACCTGTCCACCTGAGAGAAAAGGAATTATAAGACACATTATTTTTTAGGACTATGTGGGCAACCTGGATCACCAGACCCGCCATCTTTTGTGAATCCCACCCTTAGCATGTGCTGTGGAAACAATGAAGTTCTCTGAAATAATCTGATGAAGACTATCTGTCTTTATTGGGGTGGGGTGTTAAAAAACAACAACAAAATAAAACAAAATATCCCCTTCATTTCTCAATACAGGCATCAACACCATTCAAAGAAAAGCAAAAGAATGAAACCCAGACACTGAGGCAAGGAGTGGTCTTGCCTGGGCAATACAGGGGAAATGTCTCTTCACCTTCAGCTCCCCAACCCATTGTCCTAGAGGGAAAGCCAAATAGCGGCCACCAGGCTCTTCTCCAGCATTTGTTACTGAAGGAACAAATGAGGCAGCAGAAGCTTCTGGCTACAGGTAATGGTAATGGGAATAGCCCTTGTTTATGAACCAAACTGAAGTGCAGTGCCTGAATTGCATCTAATACAGTAGTAGGCTGCCTCATTCCAGGCACAGCTTGAGAAAGTTACATTTTTGGACTGTGTTTGTTAGACCTGCTAGCTGGGCGATTCTGAAAGTCGGTCCAAAATGCAACGTCGCCAAGCTCTGATACCAGGTTAAACTACTTATCCACTGAGTTCATTATTCTTTAATACGACTAAGAGCAAGCAGCTCTTTATAGTCAGAGGCAGAGACTTGTGTGCCTGTAAGGGAGGAAATGAGATTCTTGCTCCCCCTGAGATCCTACATTAATTTACTATTTTTATATACATTGATGGCTATATTGTAGTAGTGTGTGTTGTGCATGTCAATTATGCTAACTTTCCACAATGAGCCTTTGCCCTCCACCCTCAGAAGAAAACCTTGCAGATACCCTTGGGCAGAGATCTGACTAGGTATTCAGAAATTCTAAGAATAAAAGCTGGGATAAGTCCACCACTGTCGTTTGTCTTTTACATGAGAGACATCTGGATCTCTTGCTTCCAGAGACAATGATTTGCAAAAAGTGCACTGATTTCCATTTACTGCAGATGTTACTGGTGAGACTATGTAATCACAGCTATCACTCCAGTTTACTGTCTCAACAGTTCTTCCTCTTACACCTCTTTATGTGGTAGAATAAAATACAATCCTAACTTTACAAGAGCATTTCATATCCAGTGCTAGCTTTGGAAAGCCCACAGTGCAAGTCATAGACTTCAATACTCGTATGTTTCCACTAGAGATGGGCACAAACCAGTTTGTCCAGGTTAATAAAGTGGCATAAAGTGTTTCAAGAATGGAGACAAACAGTCTTTAGATGGCTTTAGATTAGAGATGAACCAGTTTGGCCCAGTTCATCCCAGTTCATAAAGGCAGCAGCACAGGTGCTGCTGCTCCCCTCCCCCACCTGGCTCAAACGGCCACCAGTTTGGCCCAGTTCATCCCAGTTCATCCCAGTCCCTCCCCCACCTGGCTCAAACAGCCATTCACCAGGCTCAGCTTAGTTGTTTTTACTCACCAGGCTCAGCTTGCTTGTTTTTTCTCATCTCCTCAACTGATCTTCCAGTCCCGGCCATAGATCAGGCTTCTCTGCCCTGCCCTATTGGCTGATCTCCCACTCAGACAAAATAGAGGGGCAGAGAAGTCTGTGCTCATGCTTAGCTGAGAGTAGCTGAGGAGGTGGGGTAAACACACAGACTGAACCTAGTGAGTGGCTAGATTGGCTGAGGAGCCAGAGGAACAGAGCAGAGAAACACAAACCTGGGCTGTTGCCTTTAAGAATTGGGATGAACTGGGACAAAATGGTTCATGTCCATCTCTAGTCTCCACGATGGTTTCCCTGCCTCTGTTTTTTTTTTAAATTGGATGTCACAATAGGTTTTCTTAATATTGATGCCTTTGTATTTGATATCATGGGCTTGTAGGTGCAGTACCTCTTCATCCACAGTCACCACTGGCCACAAAAGAAAGAGTCTCCCCCAACTTAAGAGTTGCACATAAATTACCTCGACACAGACCATTAAATCGAACTCAGTCAGCACCACTGCCACAAAGCACCTTGGCTCAATTGGTAATCCAGCAACAGCATCAGCAGTTTTTGGAGAAACAAAAACAATATCAGCAGCAGATTCATCTAAACAAAGTAAGTTTGTACATTACAGCCTAATACAAAACAAATGTGACCGTATCTACAATGTGCATGCCTTTGAGACTGTATCTATGTCCATGCCCGTATACAAAACATATAAGACTGTATACAAAGCAAAAGTGACTGTATCTATGTGCATGCCTTTGAGAAAGAAAAAGAAAAACTCAACAATGTCAGTTCATTTTACAGTAAGGTATGATTTTATTCAAAGTAATTTATCAAAAGTTGGTTCCCAAATTGGGAACCTGGGAAAGTTTCATTATCTGTGTTGTAGAAAACTGCAAGCATACACAATTCTTAATTATTCATTACATCACTGAAAATGGTATCCTGTAGGGATTGAATCCTTATTTTTATCAAACTTGTATGTAAGGATAATGATTGGCAACATTCTTCTGCTTACTGGTAAGAATAGTAAGAGATTTCCTGGTGTCTTTGTCTTGAGTCCAAATTGTCAGAATGATTTGTGTGTGTGTGTGTGTGTGTGTCTGTCTGTCTGCCTGCCTGCCTGCCTGCCTGCCTGTGTCTGTGTCTGTGTGAAGCTATCTGGAGTTTCCCACACCAAGATGGAGGGAAATAGAAGCTCAAGGTTCATTCATGTCTCAGTTTATTATTATTTATAATATCTGAGTGCAGCATATAAGTTTTTCTGCATTGATCTTTACCATTCACTGACTAAACAGCGAACATAAATTTACTTCAGTATTCATTGTCTAAAAATTTTAAATCAGGCATTTGTCCCATTGTATAAAGTATTTTACTCCAAAATTTGGGAACTTAGTGCCACACTCTCTTCTGTAGAAATTGATTCTGACTGTTGGATCTTAGCTGATGCCAATTGCCTAAGTGTAATTGGGCAAATGTATATTGTGAGAGTAATTCAATAATTTGCTTACAGAATAGTAAGACTATTGTGATAGTGCTTTTATATAATCATTTGTGATTTTTGCATCTACAAAGTTCAGTCTCACAGGCAAGTTATTTTAGTAAATTTCCAAGATGGCTATGAAAAATAAGCATTTTTCTTTCTTTATGGCTATGGATGTATTTGAGAATCTAATGAAAGAATTTTTAAAAATGCTCATAGGTGAACCAATTTCATTAAAGAACTATTCTCCTGTGTGGTGCCTATTCTTTGGAATCTCTTAAGAATTCCCAGCCAAATTAGAAACACAACTTTGAATTTAAGTTCATAGTTTGTACAGTGGTTTGGTTATTAAATCTCATCTTAATTAGGAAAAATGAAGACAAGAGAACTTCAAAGTTCAAAACTGATCCTTGCATGTTAACCCCTCTCAACTTGGGTGTTTTTATTACTCAACTTGGACTTCACTTGGCTTTTCATTTACTATGTGTTCCATATGTTTAATCAAGATGGCATAGGTACATCATGGAGCTTCCAGGTTTTCAAAATATTTCACCATCCTGCAATTGTCTGAAGAAAAGCAAACTTTTATTACTGATTGAAAGACAGAACCCCTGTGATTCTCTTCCAAGGGTATCCAGAATAAACAGTGATTAGCTATCTTCCAGGATTTTCTCAAAGAGATTTAGTCAGCATACCATCCTGCATTTTTTCTTGAGCTTTTATGCACATGATTTTTGTTTATAGTGGGCCCGTTAAGCCAAAGATAGACAGCCAGCTATGCATTATATTTCTGCCAAGAACTGCTAGATAGATCAGTGGTTTGGGTATCTAGCTGCATAGCCAGGGTTGGGAAAGCGATGCCCCACTGTGCTTCCTTGACAGGGACTGGACTCGATGATCCATAGGGTCCCTTCCAGCTCTGCACTTCTACAATTATTATAAGTACTAGACAACATCCTCTGATTTTTAGAAGATTAATTTTGTTCACAGCAGACAGATTTATTTGGTCCCTAATGGGATGACACATGTAACTACACTTCTCTTGTTGGTCGCCAGCTCTGCAACTCTATGCCATATGGCCAGATTATCAGAAATCACTTTGAGGATTCTATGCTGGATGTAAACATTAGACAGAAATGCTATTAAAAGGGGAAAAAAGGTCCCAATTCATTTGTAGCAGAATGTTAATACACAACTGTTTTTTAAACTACACTAACATTGCATCCAATATAAATTTGAATAAAGCCAGGCCAGAACTCATTCTGATTGAAAATGTATTCTGTCTCCACTCTGTCTATATATATAAAATACAAGCAACGACTCGAGAAGTAATTTGTGTATTGCAACTCAGCTGTTTCCCGGAATTATGGTATTTCTTGTTTGTTTTTAAACCTGACATTCAATACAATCGAGGTGAAGTTGAACATCAGGGTTTTTTTAAAAAAACCAAGGAATACCATAATACCAGGAACCAAGTTGCAATACACAAATTACTACTTCTCAAATTGTTCCTTGCATTTATATATTAACTAATTTTTACTTACATTAGTACTCTGCAGTTTGTCCAGTCAATTAATTGCAATATATTGGAGCTGCCTTCTCTTTGCAGCAACCCTGTAAAGCAGTGGTCTCCAACCTTGGGCCTCCAGATGTTCTTGGACTACAGCTCCCAGAAGCCTTCACCACTACCTCTGCTGACCAGGATTTCTGGGAGTGGAAGTCCAAGAACATCTGGAGGCCCAAGGTTGGGGACCACTGTTGTAAAGAGTGGCTATCCCAGGATCATCCGCTGAATTTCATAGTTATAACTGTAATGATTTTCTCTCAATTCTTAGAAAAATGGATTTATCTAGAGTAGAGATGGGCACAAACCAGTTCTTCCTGGTTCGAACCAGTTCGCCACGGTGGCAGCACAGGTGCTGCTGCTCCCCTCCCCAATTCCTCTGGCTCAAAGAGCCACTCATCAGGCCCAGCTTGCTCATTTTTTCCACCTCCTCAGTTAATCTCCCAGTCATGAGAAAGAGCACAGACTTCTCTGCCCCTCCCTTTTGTCTGAGTGGGAAATCAGCCAAGAGGGCAGGGCAGGGAAGACTGATCTATTGCCAGGACTGGAAGATCAGTTGAGGAGATGGGAAAAAACAAGCAAGCTGGACCTGGTGAGTGGCCGTTTGATCCAGGTGGGGGAGGGGAGCAGCAGCACTTGTGCTGCCGCCTTTATGAACTGGGATGAACTGGGCCAAACTGGTTTGTGCCCACCTCTAACCTAGAGCCATCTAAAGACTGTTTGTCTCCCCTCTTGAAACCATTGCTATGGCTATTAGTTATATAATCCTCATTTTAGCAACAACAACAACAACAACAAAACTAGCTGAGTAATTTTAGGATTGAGTACATATCTTTTGTTGGCAGATACACAGGCATGCCTGGAGCAAATGCTTAATTAATAATAATGATTGCTTGTTGTCAGGTCAGTTCCAACTTATAGTGACCCTTCTTAAGGTTTTCTAGGTATAAAATATTCCATATCCTTTTTCTGGGGGTGTTCTGAGGCCTTGCAGCTTGCCGAAAGCCGGACAAGCTGGTTCTGCTGCTGGGAAGCACGGTGGGGAATTGAACTCCCAACCCCTGCAGCCAAGTGCTCTAGCTCAGTGAGCTGTGCAGCCAGGTGGCACATGCTTGCCCTACTCCATGTCCCAGACAAAACTCTGCAGGGGGTGAGGGTTTCTGGAGCAGCAGGCACAGCAATGGCACATTCAGAGATTCTTTGTTTCCTCCAGATTCCCCAACCCCTAGTTGGCAACATAAATGGCCTTCCATTGCGGTCAAGAGAAAATAAAAGGAAAAGCACCCCTAACTCTCAGCATGGTTGTAGCAGAATGACCCAGCAGTAGATTTGATAGCTGCTGCAGCAGCAGGTTGTCCCTCAACTCCTCCCCCAGCCAAATACATTCAGATGTTATTCTATCAGTAATTTGCCCAACTATTTCTTTTATTCCCATTTAGTGCAGATGAGTGTAATTTAGCCCTTTGTCCTAAATGTTGATATTCAGTATTAGAAGTCCACAGTAGTAGACAGAGTCAGATTCATTTTTTAAAAATGTCTTGCTTCCCTAAATTACTCTCAGCTATGGATAACTTAAAGAACACAATCAAATCCAAGGCTTTTCAAAAAATGCTGCTTTTCCGCTTACTGCTACAGTGAGATTAGAGGAGTGAGTCTCAGTCTTCACTGTGTCACTGCACTTAGAAGGTTTGCTAAAGCACTGGTTCTTAACCTTGGGTTACTCAGGAGTTTTGGACTGCAACTCCCAGAAGCCTCCACCACCAGCTGTGCTGACTGGGGTTTCTGGGAGTTGCAGTTCAAAAGCATCTGAGTAACAAAGGTTAAGATCCAATGTACTAAAGGATGGTATACAATTCTTTGAAAATAAATCCATACTTTTTTTTCTTTTAATTAAGTGTAATGGGATTACTGATGACCAATGTGGTGTAGTGGATAGAGTAACAAAGACTCAGGAGGTTTGGGTTTGAATCCCTGCTCAGTTATGGAGATTGGGGGTGTGGAACTGGTAAAACCATCCCTCAAATGTCTCACGACTTGAAAAACCTCATCCATCCCTCAAATGTCTCACGACTTGAAAACCTCATCAGGGTCACTATAAATCATTTCCAACTTGATGCTATATAACCACAAAATGAGATTACAGTATCATAAAAATAACAAAACCTTCTACAGTCTGGATTAGCAAAAACGTCTTTGCCTGGTATCAAAAAGTTATTCTTGGAAAGAAAGTGAAGTTTTGGGAGAATGGTGTTCACAGACACAGCCAAGAAGATCATCTCTTCTGTTGCTAGTTGTTGTATCTTAGGGCTTTTCAAAGCATTTTTTCCTCATAGAAGGGATTTTTAAAAGGGAAGTTTGAATATAAAAGCCTGTAAAGTCCATTCTTTGTGACCAAGCAAGGGGAAGAAATGTTGTCCCATCTAGAAGAACCCACAGAGGGCAGATTAGCCTAGAGGAGGTAGTGCCTGAACTGAAAAATCCAATTCCTAGGGGATGCAAAATGAATGACCATGCAGCTTGAATCGAAAACCACTTGAAATTTAGGTAAAGAGCAGCATCAGT